AATTCCAAAAAAGAATGATTTAAGCTCAAAAAGGGGTTGGTACGCCAGGGTCATACACCGGTGTTTCGGAGGTTCGTCCCCCTCATCAGTGACCCCCGCCCCACATTCAGCCCTGCATTGAAGCAAGGAGGGAGGCGTTTAGTTTTGATCTAACAGCAAAAATCTATCGACTGAGAGGTGGTGATGGTACAGTGTCATAGTACACTGTGCCATCACCACATACGCCTCCCTCCTTGCTTCAATGCAGGGCTGAATGTGGGGCGGGGGTCACTGATGAGGAGGACGAACCTCCGAAACACCGGTGTATGACCCTGGGCGTACCAACCCCTTTTTGAGCTTAAATCATTCTTTTTTGGAATTATATTGAATGTTTTTTGGGGGTTTCAAAAACAGTCGATCTTTTGATATAGTTTTGATCTAACAGCAAAAATCTATCGACTGAAAGGTGGTGATGGTACAGTGTCATAGTACACTATGACACAGATCGCGTATTTGCATGACGTTTATTCTCTCTTCTATGGTTTGAATGTTGTGGCAATCGTTTGGTGAGTGCCATGCCTTTCCGCAATAGAAACAAGGTTTTCTTGTTATTATTTTTTCCTGACTTGAATGGCTTGTGGAGGACTTCCAACATTTGTTTCCCTGACATTATATCTGAGGTTGACTTTTTCGTGAACTTGGTTTTGAAGTTGAAGTTCTTCTTTGATGTACTCCTTGATAGTTGCCAGCATTTCTTTTATCAACCACGTGCCTTCTCTTTGACGTCTTTTCTGTATAACGTGGCGTTGGATATCCTTTGTGAACTTTTCAAGCAGTAGCTGTTGCAGAATCGTGCCATCTATCAGTTCTCCTTTTTGTTTCAATCGGATGACAATAGAATAAAGTGAGTCACAAAGCTTCTCCTGATTCCTTAGTCGAAAACTTTGGGCTTCGAGTGTGCGTAATTTTCGTAAAAGTTGTTCGATGATGCTTTGAGGATTCCCATATTTTTCTCTTGATTGGGCTCTTACCAAGGGATATGCTTCTCGTGACACGTTGTAAAGTTTAGCTATTTTTTTGGGTTCTCCTTGAAGGGCTTCGAGTAGACAATTCATCTTTAGAAAATCATCTATAGGTCGTGAGTGCATGGTGTGCTCAGATGCTCCCCAGAATGAGTCCCATTCCCAGGTTTGCCCGCTGAATTTCGGAAGTGGTATAGGAGGTAAGGTTGAAGTTGGCACTTTGACGATGTGGTTACATATATTGCTTGGTGGGCCAATAATGGCGTCCGTGTGGGTTTTAGTTGTGCCTTCCAATTTATCCAGAAGATTCAGAAGTATGGTTCGATGGACTGTTGCCCTATCGATCAGATCAATTGCTTTTTCCGTGTTAGCCTCGACTCGTGTATGAATTTGCTCTAGCAGCGGTGTGTTAGAGTCGAGGCGATCTGCTGCTATATTGTAGTTGTCCAGTGCTATTTGGACAGCGTTAATTTGGGTTTCGATATCTGTCTTTGCTTGATGTAGCTCATCTTGAAGCGAAACGATGTATCCCTTCGATTAGCTTCTTCGGATGGAAGCGATAGGGGGGTGTTGATGAGGTCTTGGTGGTTGTCTAGATAGGTTTTTAGACGGTTGATAGTTTTTGTCAAGACCGCTTGGCGCACGGTAAGAGTGAACGTCATCGGTGATTGTGGGAGAAGTTAGTAAACGAGCTTTGCAACTTTGAGTTTTGAAGACAATTTTTTTATGAAAAGGAACCTGCGTACCTTTGCTCTTCCCAAGCTGAGATTGTTCGCTTTATACTGATGATGCCATCGTTCGGCCAATGCGTCACTATTTTAGTTGGGCCGATGCACCCCTATTTTAGTTTCAGTGATAGTTGAGTCGTTGCTTGAATACTTTGCGACAAGAGTACTGCTCTTTGACTCGTCTTGATTTGTCCTGCCACGCGGATCTTTGAGATAGGATTTATCTTTATAACGAACAACCTAAATACATCAAAATATGTACACACATATGTACAACAACCATCATGAGCATTAACGATACGAACTTAATCATAAAAGAGAACGATAAAGTTGATGCCAAGGACAAGTGAGTGACGATGTCGAAAAATGAATGATTGATTCGAGATTCATGATACGAAGGAGCAATTGATAGCTAATGTCTTGACACCTAGTTAATATAATCGACAGATGAGTAGAAGGAGATAAAGAGAACGAGCAGGCAATGAGAACGTAAAGAGGAATCAAGTGCCATTGTGGGCGTGATTCTCCACCATCGCCATTTTCCTTGACCGCTGAGCAACCACCTCGTCGGCAGATGTCCGCCATCGGCAATGTCCCGGCTATATCGCGATCTCGGGCCGATAAACACCTTAATTACGTCACCTTCCGATAATTTGAGGCAATGTCCACAGGATACAATCCTATGCTTATTCGATAAATTTAACATAGTGTTGTATTATCTATAATATGTACATGCGCGGCGCAAAGGAAATACCAGTTGTCTAGTTGAAGAACTGCTACATGTGACATCGTTTTCAACTTCTCACGCTGTGTACCAGGATTTTCTGCGATGCACGCAGCAATGGAAAGAAGTTATCCAGTGGATTTGAATTTTGAAAAGACATTAGTCATACTGAATGATGATATATCACAAAAGAGATTTCTATAAACTTTTCATTGCATAAAAACGCTCATATGTTGAAAAAACCGCCTTTCTTTCATCAAGAAAACCGTATTCTTCCAAGAAGAAACACAGTCCTGCTGCTATAAGACATTTGTTTACACTTTCCTTTTTTCAGTGTACGTTTGCGTAGTCACTCAATAACTTTAAAGAAGCCAATTTTGATACTGAGAACGGCTTGTGAAACGATTTCTATAGTACCTTTGACTTACAGAATAAAGTATTACGTTTTGCCTTCGGAGTGCGTTACTACTTCACAGTGGATTTTCTGATAATATGTAATGAAATTTTGATGAAGTGAATTTTCGCTACGCAAATAAAGATTGGTGGTTCCTTCTGATTATAAGGGAACAAAGAGAAACAGATCTCATTCCTTCGAGCGGAACTTTCATAAGAGTGTTAGTAACCATTCGAAAGCTGAGACATGAGGCTACAGCCCTACCTCACCGGTTACTTAAAAGCCCTTAATAAAGATGTAGCATCCCAGAAAAAAATTATATTTCGTACCCACCGTGCACCGTTATTTCTATACACGTATAATTCGCTGGAAGCACGAAAAGCATAACAGCGAGTAGAAAATTTTCCTAAATATTCGAATCATAGGAGCGCATGTGCAGCAGTGGTTAGAGGTGCTCTGCGTCGCCCATGAGGCGGACGATTCGATCTCGTGCTCATGCCTCACCAAGCCACCTATAATAATTTTCCCAACGTAGCATTGCTGTTGTTTCCGGAATTACAAAATAAAAAAGGCAACGCAGATGGTCCATGACCTTAGAGAGCAAATGTTATCGCAGAGGTTCGAGTACCTTAGACAGAAAATTGTCTAAGTGGCTAGGACGGCACCCGCTGCCACCAGCCTCAACACTCAGTTCGATTGCCGGGCATCATCCGAACGGTCGTGTGACTTCATCCGGCCACCTCACCTCAATCGTAATCGATCCATTATTGTTCTCTTTACGCAGTTTCGTTGCCGTGTATCTAATCGCTATCATAAGGTTGTGTTCATATAATTGTTGAATGAACTCAACAGAATGTGAGCGGAACATAGCGCTCTGTGGCGGAGCGAACCCACTTAGGCTATGCTCGGCCCACCACCGCGGTAAAGGGATTCTGCTCATGTATAATCAGTAGTGACCCCACTGCTATCACACTATACATTCACCCACTGGATCCTACCTTTGGCTTGTTATTCCGGGGCGAGCATAACAACCCAAACGGGCTCCGCTGCCTAGCCATGCTCCGTCAGTTACAATAACACTGTCAATTACAATAACACCGTCAGTTATAATAACATTCATAGTATCGTCAGACGATGATACTTCCCATCAATCGGTCACTCACATTGACAATAGTCTTATGCTCACCCTAAAGATATGTCGCAATCATGTATATATTATTATTCTAATAATGCATGGAAAATATTTATATTTATAAATAACATTATATATAATATGTTATATAATATTATATATTATAATATTACTATATTATATATATTATATTATATTATATTATATATCATATAATAATATATATAATAATAATATATAATAATAAAATATATAATATATAATACAATGATAAAATTTAGTAATATAATAATACATAATATATAATATATATAATAATATATTATAATATATTTTATGTTATATTATATAATATTACACGTTATAATATCATTATAAAAGGATAAAAGGATAAATCTCTGGCGTTGATCAATCCCTGAGGGATGCGCCATGCCTTCGACTTCAATTTTTAACTTCGTTTGAGGTGATTGAATGCAGATCTGACCTTTACAATGACTCGCGGAGGCATCCCGCTGAAGCGAGTCAGTGCTGCTTATCCTCCCAGACAAGTCTGAGACCTGTCTGGTACCAATTTACCGACCCCGGAGGGATGGATGGCTTGGTGAGCCATGAGCGCGAGATCGAACCAGTGACCTCGTGTGCGACGCAGGGCACCTCTAACCACTGCGCCACATGCGCTCTATAATATCATTATATGTTGTAATATATATATAATATGTATATTGTGTATATAACATGTATATTATAGGTTGTCTGGTTCTGCCACTTTGTTTGGTACCACGTTATTGTTTGGTTCCACCCTATTGAACGCTATAACCCTTATAAAGGATTTGAGGTTTGTGCCCTTGTCCGTTACAAGACACAAGTTGGCAGCAGATCAGTCGCTCACACAGTCGGGAGTTCAGCCCGCCGCAACTTGGAAGCACAATGCGTGACAGCACAAAGGGAACAAACAAGAAGACCACTGAACCTCCACATATAATTTAGTGCATCGGCTACAAACCTTCGCTACAGTCTTTGGTGCATTGGCCAGGAATCGACCCCGGGTCGCCCGCGTGGCAGGCGAGCATTCTACCACTGACCCTCCACCATATTTCGCACAATGCCTACTCATAGATCGGGGCACTCAGCAGAACGCCCCCACTTCTTACTCATAGATTAAGGCACTCAGCAAGAGAGCCCTCACATCTTGGGACATAGAGCGGGGAACTAGCAAGAAAACCCCTACGTCCTGGGGCATAAAGCAGGGAACTAGCAAGAAAGCCCTCCTTCCCCCCCCCCCCCTCTTTAAGGCGTATCAGCCGACTACGTTCGCATACTAGTCACTAGCGGATCTTGCAATCAAAGGAACGGCCTCACCAGCCGAATGAAGTATTCGCATTGAATCATCATTGCGGCAACACAACTCTATGAGTAGCTGAACAAGACAACTTCATCAAGTCATAACCAAACAACCTCAAACTTGGAAAACCACCCGGTACGTTTGAATTCCGTCATTATATCAAAGTCACGTTCCATATAACTGTATGGAAAGGGCTGAAGCAAAAGTAAAGCAGGAAATATAAAACGTCAACATCATGACGGATCACTGCATCGTAGTATTAGCCAAAGTACTGGAAAAGTTCAGCGTAGCCCTAAAAATAGACTTACAACGCACGACGTTGCGTTGTGATCTACATAATCTTACTTTTCCTCAATCAAAAGTATTTCTAGCCTCATTACCACCCCAAGACCTGATAAACAACCTCAGCTTGGGAACATATCTACGCCCACGGACCAGTCGTAGCATCTATAGGACTAGGTCCAAGTAGGGACCGTCCAAGAAGGCGAATAAACTACAACTTCCGTCCGACAAGACGAATAACTACAATTACCGTCCGAAAGGATGAACAAACTACAGTGACTATCTCTATTATCTTAGATAAACCAAACAAAGTGAACAACCTCAGCTTGGGGCGACCTCCGATTAGATCCAGTCATTAGAGCAATATCTTTATATTCTCTTTTTTCTCATCTTTTTCATTGATCGTTAGTTACACGTTTCACCTAAGTATCAATTCCAGGTCTCTAACCTTCTATAGGAAAACTTTCTTCGTTTCCTTCAGCCATGTCGTCTTCAACTATGCAAGACACTATGATGTTCAGGCTCGTAGACGCACTGATCTATAGAGCCTAGGAGATGAGCATTTTGCGAAGCCAGAGTATAGCAAATCTCCCAACGAATCTTTGCTATCTTTTCCTGATTTACATGCTAATTTAGGCAACGCAGATAGTCCCTGATCTTAGAGAGCAGATGGTATCGCAGAGGTTCGAGGACTTTAGACAGAAAATGATCCAAGTGGCACCCACCTGCCACCAACCTCAACTGTCAGCTTGATTACGGGGCATCATCCGAACGGTCGTTGACTTCATCCAGACCACCTCACCACAAATCGTCATCGATCCATTATTGCTCTCTTCAGACAATCTCGTTGTCGTTTATGTAATTGCTATCATAAGGTTGTGTTCATATAATTGCTGAATGAACACAAAAGAATTGTGAGCGGAACATGTCACTTACGTGGCGCTGCAAACTCAGGCTATGCTCGACCTACCACCGCGGTTGAGGGATTCTGCCCATATATAATCAGTAGTGACTCCACTGCTATCACACTATATATTCACCCTATGGATTCCGCCGTTGGCTTGTTATTCCGGGAAGAGCATAACAACCCAAAAGGGCTCCTCCGCATGAGATGTATTGCTTCTGTCTCGCTCCTTATTCATAGTTTTCTCCACGTTCATTGAACGTCTAAGGTACATGTGCGAGATGGTCTCCATAAGTAAGAACAATTTAGTTGGACTTAATGTTCAGTCTTTTTTTCCCTCAGGCATGTTGAAATCACTGAGCATCATCTCTGACACACTAGTATTCCAAATGAAGATGACGATGTCACCAGCACAGCGTAGTTTGGTAGTGATTTCTCACCAGTACGTATGTCCTTCTTAGTCGAGTGATTCATATCCACGACAGTGCAAGAGTGAACAGCTTTCGCGATATACTGTGGTTTTGTGCAGCTCACTTTCTAGAGATATGGTAAAGGGTCAGTGGAGAGGCTGCATTTTCGTGCTGCACTTCTAGAAAATTCAGCTGGTATTTGTATTTGAAACTGTTTTACTCGCGGTCTCAACGGCGACAATTGTCCCTAACTAACCTAATTACTGTTTTCTTCACAAACAAGCACGAGGCTGTTATTACAATATATATACACAATAGTTGACTTTCAGCATTCGCTTTCTCTAGAGCCTGAGAAGCTAAGCGTATTGAAACCTAGCCGACTAAATATTTCCATGAACTAGGTTGAAGGATTCCAGCACATATTTCGTTCACACAGTAAGCAACTTTATTTGAACATCGCAGTAAACTCTTGAAGGTCATTACGCGTCGGTGTTTTAGACTCCTGTGCGAGATTTCTAACTTACGTTTCAAAATCTTCATGCTCTTTTTGCGTCCTCTGCATATCTAGCGAGTTATTTTCTTTGGCTTTGGGCATATCCAATTGGATATGCCTGAACACGGCGATAGAGAGGTGCACACATTGAGCGTTTGCCCGCGCACGTTTTACAAGATATCGGGTATCATGTGGCAGAACTCACTTAAACCCAGTTACGAAAATTATCCATTGCTGCAGCCTTTGTCACTGATCATGCGCACTAATTTTGAGCACTTCAGCAATTATCTGTTCCAGTATGCCTTCAAGATGATTTCCTGCACCTTGTACAGTTTCCATCCCCCAAATAACTTCAATATGAATACGTTTAAATGGTTTTAGAGGTCCATCAAAGATCGAAGATCTCCTTGTCGGTCCATTAGCTGTCGTTGGGTATCCTCCTCCATTTTCATCAAGAAGTGTTATGTAAGGAGGATAAAATCTATGCAAACTATATAGAGCTTAATGAAAGCTGTAAGAAGGAGTATACCTCAATAAGTGTTTTAAGTAAAAGGTTTTGTTATGCCAGAAAATAGAGACTAGGAAATCCCACTCGATCACGGAAAACAGTGATGAGGAGGACGTTGGTGTTGAAGCCGGTAATATCATAGGAACAATGCACTTGCCACAGATGCTTGCACTGGGGGACTCACGAGATGGAGAACAGTGTACATTGAATGTTGAGAGATATTCGTCAGGTGCTCAAGGAGAGTGCTGATGGCTGAGAACTCCATCCTTCGATGAGCGACAGGTGGGTTTGTTCAAGACGACGTAATGCTCACATGCGAGGGGCCAATCGATTTCTATGAGCTATTTATAACTGATTTTATATCATTGTACACCTACAAATGTGTACGTAGGTACAGGCACAACTTTCTGGCCAACTTTGTGCGAACTATGGAGAGGTTTGAAAGTCGTAGAAAGTGTAAGAAGAAGCTTGCCTAAAAAAGTGTTCCAAGTGAAAGATCTTTATCATCAAGAAACGTGTAGCGGGGATGTGCTTTTCCAAACCTACCTGCGTTGGTCACTGTTCAGTCACTCGTCATTCACTGTTTTGGATGTCCTTCTTTGGAACTGGTCGACTGAACAGATTGTGATCCAATTTGACATTCCCAGGCTCCAAAAAAGGAGAAATCTTCGGAACTCATATTGTAATGTGACTTAATGAATTAATCTCGTGTCGACATCCTCGTGGATGTTCTTTTATTCTTTTAGAATAACCCATAAGAACTTTTTTTTGCGATATCTCACGATATAGTCATGATAATGTCTCCTGAATACGACAGTGCTGAAACGAATTTCTGAGATAGACGTAGCACCGCGATCACGGTGGCTGGGGGAAACGCCGGTACCGTGCGGCGTGTGGCTGAATGTAATACGCCGGCGCGAAAAGGTTAAACAGGCATATTTCCCTGGTTCACCAATAGTTCGGACAAACAAGGGCATTCATTTCTTCATTTCAGAGTCGAATAATCGTACTACACCCGTCTGGAATCAGCTTGTTTCTCCCAATCGGCAATCGTTTGCAATTGTCTGTAGTTTGCGTGCACAGACGTTGGTATTTCCTTTAACTTCTTCTACATAGTGCTCTAATGCTATCCACAAATGTTACTGAGAAATAGCACAAATAGTTCACCACAAGAATCCAGCATATAAAACTTTTGATTTATTCTTATGTCGCAGCTAATTACTACTTGGTTTTTCGCAACTGATTCAGATCTGCTTAGTCTCTGTTGAAAAGTGATAGTAATAGGAGGAAAATCTCGTAGATGTCGATGAAGAGTGCTAGAGCTGCAAACACGTATTCCTCCGGTGACAAGTTGTATCGTCTTCCTCCCACAATCATCTAAATGGACCACTAACTGATTCGAATATTCTGTGCCTTATTTTGTTTGGTACCTATCCTTCTACACAGCAAGGTATGATGTGAAATACATCCCGTGGATGGTGAAATGCGAGCAAAACTTGCAGCCTAACTTACTAGGTCTTCAACTAAGTTTCCGAACTTGATCCAGAGAGTAGGAAGTTTCTCACAAAAACAAACTGTCCTTTTACCTGTTTCGTGCAAATTTTCTCGCGCATCGTTTGCCATATTTTTGCACATAGTTAATCAACAATGGAGCCGTCACGGGAAGTTATTCAAGTTACTGCTTTACGAGTTTCAAATGGGGCAAATTTTTAAGCTGCATTTCACAACATCAGTCATGCAAAAGGCCGCCAAATTGTGGGTAGAACTACGGCGTCGTAATGATTTACAAACATTCGCAATGGAGATACCGATTTGGCCGATCAACCAAGATCCGGAAGACCGCGTGAAATTGATCGAATAGCAATCATTGAAGCGATTGAAGAGATCCAACTTTGTCAGCCGGTATTTGGTCAATGATTTCCATTTTTCAGAGAGCAGATCCAGAAGATTTTGAAAGATGTAAGATGAAAGCCGGTCAGACCATCAACGCTGAGCGCTGTTGTCAGCAACTGGACCGTTGCAATCAAGCAATTCCACGTCACGCCTTCGCCAGGTCATTTTGCTCCAAAACAATGCAGAGGCATACGTTGCCAAGTATACAAGGAAGATGTTGACCGGTTTGGGCTGGGAGCACTTGGATCACCGCCGTATTCACCAGATCTGTCTC